AAGCCCAAATGACATAACGGTCTATTGGTACTGGGCATTTGGAATACAGAAAGCAGTCTTGGGTCGATCTTCTGGGTGGATACCCAATTGCCAAAATCCTGCTTTGAGGTCAAACTTAGAAAATATTTTTGCATCTCTAAGATGGACTGTAAGTGAACTAGGTTTTGGTAAAGAGAATTTGTCATCTTGAAGGAAAACGTTAAGAGGCTTATAGTCAATGACTAACCTTTTCTTCCCTCTTTTGATTTCTGACCTTTTTTCAACATAGAATGCCTGGCAAGCCCAATTAGATTTTGTTGGTTCAATAAGGCCTTGCTTGAGTAGGGCAGCACATTCTTCTTTGGCGAGCTTGAGATCTTCTGGATTCATTCCTGGATGAGAGGCTTTTGTAGGACTGATATCTTCATTTTTCTTAAAGGGGAGTTTTATGAAAAACTCTTGATTTTTCCATAATGGAAATGGATGAGAGAACTGTTGATGACTATCAGCGCAAAACTTAAGAAGATGATCTCAAATATCTTCATATCCTGGTGGTGCTTGTTGGATTTCAAAAAGATTAGGAATTTCAGTATATGCACTAACGAAATTTTTATATCTAATTCCTTTAGGCAGTACTTGAAGACTCCTAGTATGATAATAAGCATCAAATCCAATAAGAATATCTTTCCCCGGGAGATCACTACCAAGAACTTTTATCCATAGAACACATCCTGGAAAGAATTGAATACCAATCTTCCTTCTAGTAATCCATTCAATCTTGAATGTTTTTGAATCAGCAGTAAGGAAGGATTGGTCACAAGGGATCCATGCTTCAGAAGGAAGAATATCAGGATTCATGATGGTTCTGCATGCTCCAATATCAATAAAAGAAATAACAGGGATTGGCTTTCATCCCTTCCTGGAAAGATATGAATTTTGACATTTGGCTTAGGAGTGACTTTGTTGTGATTTGGCTGAGAAGCCAGGGAACCAAGGAAAGACGGATGCATGGGTTGTTCAAGGGAATATAAATACCCTTGAGAATCATCTTCTTGGGATAAGGATTCAGAATCAGTTTCCTCGTCTTCAGAGAAAGGAAGAACATATTGTGTTTCTTCATCCTGAGCATCTTGTTCTTCAATGACAGATTCAACATCTTCATCTTTGTTGATCATCAGAATAGTCTACAAGTGTTCTAGCATCTTCACATCCTTTTTTGTCTTGTTGTGACAATTTTTTGCAAAATGTTCTTTTTTCTTGCATATGTAGCACCTATCAGATTTGTTTGAATAAGGCCTGCGCCTCTTAAAGTATCTCAGGAAAGGCTTTCTAGATCTTCTTCTGGAGTAAGAACCTTTTGGATATCTGAATCGACAATAATGATATTTTTTCTTGGTAGAACAAGAGCAATCTTTTTCATCTTTGCACTTTATCTTCAGGTGCGGTTTCTTGCAAGCATGCCTGAGCTTTGACTGTCCTTTCAGCATTCCTTTGAAGAACTTTTGTTGTTCACAGAGCTTATCCACAGCTGCTAATGCCAACTGATATATTTCTCCGATAGAAATGTCAGACATATTTCTATAGAGTGCATTGATAGCTCTATGAAGTTCTGGTTGCAGTTCATCTGGAAAAGAGACAATAAAAGTATGCCTGAGATTGACATCATTAGCTCCTCCAAGCATGTAATATTTTTCAGACATTCTCTGGAAATGTTTCTACAAGTCTCTTTTGTCCAGAGAACAACATTTCATCTCAAAGTATTCCTGGCGATACCTTTTGTCAATGATATGGAAATCACCAATGAATTCCTTGTGAATGAGTCCTAGAAGAGTTTCTGCATTATCAACTCTGGCTGCTGCTATCTTCTGGTAATCATTGAGACTTTGATACCATTCTCTTAATGTTCCCGTTAGTCTTGAGAGAAATTCTGTGAGAACTTCCTCAAGAGTTGCATCATGCCTGGCAAGCTGCAGGTCAATCTATGCTCTGAACTCATTGAGTCTGTCTCTCTATTTTTCCCGAGGGAGGTCATCAAAAGTGAGCCACGGACCTGTAGTAGGTTTATAGTCTGCTCTTCTTGGCTCAAACATGTGAGGAATAGTTGGTTCCTCATCAATAGGATCTTCAATTGTAGGATCTGGTTAGACCATTGCTACTTTAGAGATGTCAGCATGATATGTCTCAGAATCAGAGTTAGAACTGTATTCAATAGAGGAATCAAACTCAGTTTCAGAGGTTCTATCTGTTGATGATTGATCTTTATTCAAGGATTGGAAAGTGGCTATGGTTTTACTTGGATCAACAACTTCTTTTCCTTTTTCTCTATCTGGAAGAGAAGTTTGTTTTGGTGGAGATGATGGTGGAGTTCTTATTACAACTCCTTGAGAGGATGGTGTTGGTTCAATAGGTTTAGTGTATGAGGGTGATGGGTAGAAAATTCTTTCAGATGAAGGGAAGTGAGGTGGTTTTATTGAAGGTCTAGGAGGAGGATTTGGTTGGACAGGTGAAAAAGTTGGTTGTCAAGATTTTCTCAATTGTCTTAAAATAGGATAAGATATTTTGAAAACCTTACTGTAATCAGATTCTCTAGGGTAAGAAGGAGGTGATGTTGGATATGTAGGAAGTTGAAAACTAGAGGAGTAAGATGGATAAGGGTCATAGATGGTTTGTGAATGATCCTTTGCGATGTCTGACTCAATTCTTTGCAAATCCTTTCGGATTTGTGACAGTTCTTGCTCTTTCCTAGTAAACTCTAGTCCAATATACCCTTTTTCGATAAATCGCTTCAGATCTACATCTAGTTGATAAGCCTGAGAAGACAGAGTCATATAAAGCTATTTGACTTGATCAGAGACTTGGTCAAGCCTGCTTGTTAGAGTATCAATTCTAAGAGTCAGCAAGTCAAGCTTTGAATCAATCTTTGTCAAGGCTCTATTCTGGCCGATCGCATTCTGGGTCTGCCAGTTAAGAACTTCTTCTGCTGCTGAGACTAGTCTAGCTTCACCAGTAGGAGAGATTTCTGTTGGAACAAAGAAAGGTCTTGTTGGAACCTTTGTTTCTCTGTTGGTTCTTCTTTCAAGGGGAGTAAAATCCTACTCATAAGGCTCCATCATTGCTATACACAAGATGGATTGTTGGATGACAGGAATCACTAGATCTGGCCTTTGTTTAGGTAGGAAGTCTTCATGACCTGTTTTTTTTTTTTTAGCAAATCATACAGAGATAATCTGCTAGAAGGGACAGTAGGGACATGAGCCTTCCAGTTTCTAGCTTTCTGCTTCGGACCATGATCATCATCATCATGGTGATGATGGTAATGCCTGTGGGAACAAGGAGATATGTTCTTCTCCTTTTTCTTTTTTATGGCATATCTGATGGGGTAAGACCATCCATCTTCATCTTCATCGTCTGATGCTTCCCACCAGTAAGGGGTATCACATTCACAGTTAGGATCACATTCTTCTGGTGCATGATCCCAAATAAAATGGCCATCTATGTGAGACACATAACATGGCTTGGCATTCTGATCTACCCAAGCAATTAGAGGGTCTCGCTTGGATGGAACATAGGCTGGGGTGATGGTCAGAATACGTCCATAAGGTGCAGAAGAATCTTCTTGGCCTGGCTTGGTGAACACTCTTTTGATTGTGCCATCTAGAAGCCTTTTTATTTCAAGAAGAGTAGAAGTATGGACATCCCTTTGAACACCATGAAAATGTTTCTCATAGTTGGTGATCCACTCAAGAGGCATCAACTAAGCAAGTTCCTCTTTTGGGATCTGTCGAGGAATCTGGATGATGGAGGTATCATCAACTCTATCGGAAACCACATATAGAGCATCTTTAATGGAATTTGGAAAATGAAGATCAAGAGCATGATTCTGGAGTCTATAGTTGACTTGATGATGAAGAGTTGCTACGATAGCTCTGGGATCTTGTTCTACTCCAACTATCTGGACTTGGATTTTAAGTCTATCTGTCAAAATTGGATATGAAAGCTTGATGTTGAAGTCTGGGGCTATGGTAAGGATAACACTACCGTTGCTAAGAGTGGTTAGGACAGCATCAATCAAAGCAATACTGTAGGTAGTATCAACTAGAGCAACTTTAGCAATGGCTGGAATTTCTTTTCTCCCATAGAGTGTAAAAATAAGGCGTACAGCACCAATATGGAGATGGGTATAACCTTGAACTATCCACTCATTGATCAAGGGTTAAGGTATGTCAATATTGACATATTGTTCAGAGGAAGAGGCAGGAAGACCACATTTTCTAGTCTGGTAGACTGGACCACTTCTTTCACATTGGGTCTTCGAGTGGAGATCAGGTTTCTAACATTTCTGGTGACACAATTAGTACAGTGATAAAGGCTGTAAGGGCTGAGAAGTAGTAGATCTGTTTCCTGAACTCTAGCATCTTCAGGAAGATGATCTATCTCAACAAAGTTCTCTATTTTTCTAGAAAGAGTTCTACGAACAGAGGAAGGAAGTCTTTTTGGGATGAAGGAAGAAAAAAGATGAACGGGTTCAAGGCTATTTGAGGTTTCACTCATGATGTGATGGTGTTTTCTTACTCACATTCACAAATAATATCTCACTTCTGTCAAGTTTATGCGGGCTCTGATACACTGGACCAAGCTAACATAGTTTGATCAAATAAAAAATTATAATTGAATTTTTATAATGTACAATATTTTTTTATTTAATGCCCATTATTAGTATTTAGACAAATATTTCATTGAATTTCGTTGCTTTAAGTAAATATACATTGTTTTTGTGATTTAAATTTGCAGAATCATACCATCAAAAGAGACAAAGATATAAAAATAAAAAAAAAATTAACTACGTACTTGAAAATTTTTGATAAATATTAATTTGTTGATCAAAATTCTAAAATTTGGTCATTTTTGGGGTGTTTGGTAACTCTGGAAAACGAGACAAATTCCTTCACATATTTACTTCGTAAATCGTAAAAGCACTTCTGAAATCATGGTTGGATTTTCATCACTGTTTTGCAACGAAGATGCGCTCTTGTGCCACTAGAAGGTGCGCTTTTCCCCATCTTCCTCTCTGTATTCGATGTTCTTCATCTTCCATCATTCTCTCTTCCCCTTCTCCCCTCACCCCCAAGTTCTTTGCTCATTCTCAAACCCGAGATGTGAATAGCTTTCACGACTCCATAGCTTCATTCATTCGCTTACTCCATCAGCATCCCCCACCTTCCATACTCCAAATTAATAAGATTTTAGGATCACTTGCCAAGGCTCAGCATCACCGCACTGCCATCTCATTGTTTGCACAAGCTGAGTTCAGAGGATTCACACCCGATTTATTTACAATCAACATCTTGCTCAATTGTTACTGCCATTTGGATGACATGTATTCTGCTTTCTCAATATTGGGAAAGATTCACAAGATGGGTCTTCAACCGGATACTGTAACTTTAAATACGCTGATTAAAGGACTGTGCATTGGGAACCAGGTTGGGGAAGCATGGGACTTCTATGACGAGCTAACGGCCAAAGGATTCCAATTAGATGAAATTAGTCATGGAACTTTGGTTAATGGGCTATGTAAACTTGGCAAATTAAGGTCTGCCATTAAATTGATCCGAAAGATGGAGAGGCATTCAATTAAGCCTAATGTAGTCATATACAGTACAATCATTGATAGGCTTTGCAAATATGGACATATTGTTGAGGCCCATGCATTGTATTCTGAAATGATTGATCAAGGACTTTTACCGGATATTGTCACTTATAGCTCTTTAATCCACGGTCACTGCAGCAAGGGACAATGGGAAGAAGCTAATTGGTTTCTCCATGAAATGATGCTGAAAGGCATCGAGCCTAATGTTTATACATTTAATATATTGATTGATGTGTTCTGTAAAGAAGGAAAGATCATAGAAGCTGAAGTTATTCTTGGCAGGATGATGAAATGTGGCGAGAGACCTACTGTTGTAACTTACACTTCGTTAATGGATGGGTATTGTTCAATGGACAATGTTAAGGAGTCAAAACAAGTATTTAATAAGATGATTCGTAGTGGGCTGGCACCTGATGTAGTTAGTTTTAATATCTTGATTGCCGGATTATGTAAGATCAAAATGGTTGAAGAAGCTACGGTTCTGTTTAAAGAAATGCGTCACAAAAACGTAGATCCCAATACCTGGGCTTACAACTCTCTTATTCATGGCATGTGCAGATTAGGAAAAATGTCATATGTGCAGGACCTTGTTGATGATATGCATGATAGTGGTGTTGCCCCAGATGTAGTCACTTGTAACATTTTGTTACATGCAGTTTGCAAAAGCCAGCATGTCGAACACGGGATTGCATTATTTCAGCAAATGGTTGCCTTGGGAGCTCAGCCTGATTTGCACACACTTAACGTACTTATTGATGGTTTGTGTAAAGGTTATAGACTAAATGATGCTTGGGAGATTTTTGAATACCTTTTGAGCAAAGGCTATCGTGTAAATGTCTACATATATAGCATTATGATCAATGGCCTCTGTCGACAAGGGCTTTTTGATGAAGCCATGACTTTGCTTTCAAAAATGAAAGAGAATGAATGCCTGCCTAACTCAATGACATATAGAATACTTCTTCGAGCTCTTTTGGGAAAAAGTGAGAATGATAGAGTAGAGAATCTTCTTCATGAAATGATTGATAGTGGTCTTGTCAAACAATAAAACAAGGTTAGATACTCTCATCCTATTTACTTATACGTGTTCAAATTTTTAAATTTTCCCTCAATGGTTATCTAGTGATGGTTTCTATTTGGTTAAATTGTTGGATTATGTGATGGGCTGAATGGACTTGATGTGTTAATGTTCAAGTCATATCTTTAATAGATTCATTGTGATTATGGTATTTGGCCCAAAAAAAAAAAAACGATTGTGCTTATTGTATGTACCTATGAGTTTCGTTTTGGTCTGAACATGACATTGTTCTTTCTTTATTTATGGTTTATTTCTGCATCAATTTATCACCTTCATTGGCATCTAACTCCTCCAATAGAAAAAGGCTTTTGGTGGAGGGTTTTGTTTCACAGTAAGGTGTCTTTCATAACTCTAAGACGCATCTAGGTTCTTGCACAAGTATTAGCACTTTTCACTGTTTTAATTATAGCTTAAATGTTGTTCTATAGAGTTTGTAATCTAATGTAATAGTTCCCTTCAGGACATTATGGCCAACAAAGATTGTTCGTTAGGTTGTTTTAAGAATAAGGAAATTGATGTCTCGACGTATTTGGTTGCCTAAGCATAAATAAAGGTTTAGGAGTGGCCAGTACACTAGTGTTAACCTTGCATTTGCTTGATGATACTTTCTCCTTGTATCTGGCAAATGGAATAAATATTGTTTATTTTCCTCTTGCGTCATAGTCCTTGTTGATGCTTTCTCATTTATTGAACAGGGCGTGAGGTGAACTAATCACGTGATGCTTGAGCCCGTGAAAATCTCTTGCCTAATTTTTTCTTCTTACTTTAAAGATGGGAACGTGACGTTTGCTAGAAATTGATGCTGGTAATGAATTGAAATTGTATGTTTGATGCAATATGGTGCTTTAATTATGCTTTTAGACCGGAAAATTGCTCATATGTCTACCTATATATAAGCTCTGTTGTAGTCTCCGTAAACAATAAAGTTACAGCTCCTTTTGACCATTTGGCTGATTGTAATCTTTCTAGTGAAATAGGCGGTACATGTAACTGGGGAGGAATTGTGTCTGTTTGTTTGGAAAACATTGGAATTTTTGTCTTTGAAAACGTAGGAATTGTCTTCACTGGCTAAAAAATATGGGCACTAAGAAGAAAAATTAGGTTGCATTTCCAATTATTAGGTAATACTCAAAGGATACATATTTGGTCTATGTCAGGAAGGTCCGAATTTAGACCTAATTCAATATGTTTTTGGTTCAAACGATGTCCAGATTGTTTGAGCCTAAAACTATCGGAAACTTGTGACCAGAAGGTTTGTCCTTGCTAGACGATGCATAAGCTGCTTAGCTGTAACTTCTGGGTTTTTTATTCTTCTTCTCCCTCCTGGATTCTTTGTGGTTGCTTCGAAATCAGACTTTTTTTGCAGGTATCCATGTTACACACAAGGAAGTGATCAGCAAAGCCACTTGGAGAACTTTAACTATTGTTAAAACTGAAGAGGGCCTTCAACCTTCAACAGCATCTTTGCAACTCAGCAAGCAATCACAGATCAGTGAGGGAGGCCACATTATTACTTCATACCCAATATGCGGGATATTTGATTTTAAATTAAACAAGACCAAAAACAGATGGCCAGCAATCCATATCTCCATCTTTTGGAATCATCAAACTTTTTACAACTGGACATTTCAACTGCCAGTTCGAATGAAGGGTCTAGAGCTTCAGCTTTCCGCTCTCAGGGAAGCACAGTTTTTTCTTTTATCTCACTGTTACGTATCCAATGTTTTTTGTATTCCCTTATGTTTAGACTTGTTCTCTAATTCTTACTGTATTTTTGTTATCAAGGAGAGAATGACGCCATGGTCAATCCAACCATCACAAGATGACATCGGTGTCATTCACAAGGGCATCTGTTATCATTTGTTTCATTTTTATAATTAATAGTCTTATTCTGTATTCAGTTTTTGGGTTTATAGTACCCTATCCTGTGGATTAATAGACACTTGGAGAGCGTTACATCATAATTGCAGAGTTTTGGATTGTGTGAAATTGAGGGTCTATTCCTTAATATTTTGACGAGTTGGGATTTAGGAACTCATTAAAGTTCTCGTTAGCCCCGCAGCTGAAAAAACAGCTTGCATCTTTTGGTAGATTTTACATGCATGTTAAGGAGCTAGATGGATGCATATTGTAGCCGTAGCTAATTCCTCCTGGGCCATAATTTCTAACATGGTGAGTATTTCTCATTCAATTTAAAGTCCTAAATTTATCGTACATACCCATGAACACCCCTACTAGAGAGGAGTGAGGGATGTGCCAATGACCCTTCTAAGAGCCATTTAGTAGTAGCGCGGAGGACTAAAATATCAAAGCGAGGTGATGATCTGGAGAAGCAAGATTGTGTTATCAGAATGGCAGAGCAATGAGAGAGGCCACGAGATATTTCATGGATGAAGGCAAATGGGTGATATGGAGGTGAGGACAAGTATATGAGATTAGGGGTGTGTATTAGGCTCGCATGCTTAATATGTCTATCCGAGCCCGTGAAAAAAACGCCCAGCCCAACTGAAAAAAAAACTGTCCAAACAAAAAAGGACATTTTTGAGCAGGGCTAATTCATGGGCAGGGCGCCGTGGGCTAGTATGCTGCCCTACCCATTTGGCCATGCCAGGAAAAAAAAATAATTATGTATATTATAATACATAATATTATATTATTTTGAACAATTATCCCTTTTTATTTTTGCTACAAAAATTAGGAAACATTAGAAAAAAATGAAAGGAACATAAAAATTATAATTATGTAAAAGAACCAAATATCAAAATATAAGATTAAATGTGCTAAATTGCTCTTAGTCAAATTTCCTTCTTTTCCTCTTACCCCCAATTTCAAAAAAAAAAAAAAAAAAAAAGGAAAACCGCCTTTCAAATTTTGTGTTTTCACATGACTATAAGAATGCGCCAACTATATGAAGAACTAAAGAATTAAACTATAGAATTAGCTCAATTATTAAATGTTTTAATTATTAAATAATTTTTTACCTCCCATAAGAAATCGAAGGCTGAAGAACAAGACTACATAAGCCTTGCATATATGAGTGATTGAGTCATTTGTGATAAATTTTTTCCTCTCACCTTGTCTCAAAGCATGGTAATTGAATTTTTTTTCTATAAATGATATGGGCAAGATGTCACTAAGTTGGGCAAGAAAACTTGCCCAAGGCCACTCCAAAATGGTTAGGGTTTCTATCGGGTTGGGCTGGTTTTTGTAGCTCGCTTATCTTTCGAGCTGAGCATCGGGCAGGGTGCTTGCCCTATCCAACCCTATCCATATGCAGCCCTAAGATGCACAAATGGGGATGTAGCTGGAATTAGAAGTTTTTAGGAATTCGATGAATGAGCTTGTGCTTGGACTTGCGTTCTCAGAATCATGGGCCTTCTTGCTTCTGAGGAAATGGGACATGGCTGAAGCGGGGAGAAGGAATGATGAGGTCTGGTCCTCTGGAGAACAACGGGGAATAAACTGTAACAAAACTTTTTAACATTGCACATTCTAATTTAACGGAAGGACTAACGGCTTTAATGGTTAAAAATTTAAGGATCCAATAAAAAAAATAAAAAAACCTTAAGGACCTAATTCAAAACCAGTATAAATCATAAGGATTTCCAAATTAGTTTTTCCGTATTTTTTATGAAAATCTATGATGATTTTTATATTTATATTGAGTATTTATATTTATTTATTTAAATTATAATTTATTATAATTTAACTTTTTGCATTATTGAATTTTTTTGATAATAATATTATTCTTTAACGTTAAAAAGCATTTTATTAACAATATTATATTTTTTATTAGGGGTAACATGGTAAATTGCACAATTTTTCAATCCATTTTTATCCAACCAAACATAAAATTTTTCATCAACCCATGTTTTATTTCAGTGCTTACCAAATATGCTACAGCATAGAAGTTTCTCATTCCATTCCATTCCAATCAATTCTTTCTACCAGACAGGCCTTTAAAGTACCTGATGGTGAATTCATATGGTCAATATTATGAATGAAGCAATGAATCTCTTCATTTAGTGTTATCTGTACAAGTGCTGAAAGTTTCTTGAATAGGTTGTTTCCAATTAAAATTGTTGAAGATCCAATAATATTGTTTTGGTCTTATCTTTTAATACAAGTCTCAGTCTCTGATGTATTCTAGTTGGGATCTTGAGATTCAGCAATATGATGATCATTTTGCTTGGAATGCTCACGAGATGTGCAACACATTGTTTCTATTACGAGATCCCCCAACTTATTGCATAGTTCAGCTTTTGATAGACTGTAGCCATCTAAACGTGGCCTCTGGCTTAGTTTGGTAGGTTGTTGCAACCTGGGGATAATACTTGCAATATATTCTTTCAGTTTTTAATATAAAACTTAATTGTTGAGTTAATTTTAATCCTAAATATAAAATATATTTATTATATTTATCAGTTTTTACTAAATTACCTCTATGGATACTCCTTGAACCTAATCAAGTAGAAGAGAGAGAAAGAATATTAAGGAAAATAATTATGGTGTTTTAGAAAAAACATGTCATATTTTTTATAATTAACTAAATTAGTTAACTTTCTTAATCTAATCAAATTAGTTAAATATGTTTTATATTAAGAACCGGAAAAGTAATTTCTTGCCTTGCCTTTTCAGAAGGGGGAAAAAAAAAAGCAATGGATTCTTCTTCCTTTTTCTTTCTTTATTTTTCTTTAGGTTACAGAGTGCATTATTCTTTAATTTTGAATCAAGTGATGCCGCCTCCTCTGCTTCATAATTAGGATGTGTTTGGTATGACAGAAAATAAGAGGAGGGGAGGAAAGAAAATTTTTTAATAAGCTTGATTTAAAAAATTAAAAAAATAGGGTTAAAAGTTTTTAATTAATTTTTATTCCTCTTTTATATTAATTTTTTTATTAAATTTAAAACCCCACTATTTTAAATGCAGCACATTAAAATTTTTCTTCCCCTTTCCTTTGCTCCCTTTTCCTCATACCAAAATAGTAACTTAGTGTGCTCGAGTACAAATGTAGCATAATTTAGATTCACTTAGACTGTGTTTGGGTGACACTCCAAACCATGGTTTGGAGAATAAATCATCCAAACACCCACCCAAAAACCAAAACCATGGTTTTGGCTCCAAAAGCATGGTTTTAGAAAAAGCAAAAAAAATTTGCTTTTGGAGAAAAAAGGGAGTATGAGAGCCTATAGGATATGTATCTTGTTATTTTTTTTATAAACATATTTAATCTTATATTTTATAAATATACATACATATTAATTATTTATTAATTATATTATCTTATGTATTATTAATTATGTTAATAAAAAATATATTATTAACAATTTTATTCCTTCAAATTAAAATATATCATAAAATCTATTTTTTCTGTAATTATCATATTAACTTATGTATTTTTTTTAGTAATTTGTATATATAAAAAGTGTTTCTAATAACAACTATCCAAACACTCTCACTTCTCAAAATCGCTTTTTCATAAAATCTATTTTTTCCAAAATCTATTCTTCCCAGAATCTATTCTCCAGAATCACTTTTCCAAACCACGGTTTGGTTTCATCCAAACATACCCTTAGTTGAAGTTCTCAAACTTCGTACATAGTTTTGTTGCTGAATGAAATTTCATAGGTTTTACGCCAAAAAAAATAATTGAAGTTCTCAAAATTATTTGTTTGTGAGAAATTTTTACACTCCTCCGGTTCTAAATATATAAAAAAGAAAAACTAGTTGAAGAATTTGCTTTAATCCTCCCAAATTTAATATTTTTCCCCCACACTCTCTCTATTGATGAGGACTATTCATTAAGAGAGTAGTTTTTCATGCAAATGATTGGAACATGTATTCTAAGAAAATCAACACATGATTTATAAAAATAACTAAATCTTTTCTACAAATTAGTTATTACTACCTCCGGTCTTAATTATAAGAGCCAGTTGACTAATTTGAGAAAATTAAAGAAAGAAGTTAAGTTAGTTATTTGTAATAAATATATGTTGTTTTTCTTAAAATATCCTTGCTAATCAAGTTTGTTGGCTAGAACTACCATTATTAGAAGGGTTATTTTGAAAAAAATACATAAATATTAGAGAAAAAGTGGATTAGAGTCTTATATTTAAGACCAAAATAAAAGTTAAATGAGGTCTATGTTAAGGACCAGAAGTAGTAGTTTATACCATTTTGTCCCAATTTAGAAAAGTTTATTTCTAAACATAAATCATTTGCAGGGTAATTAATGAATGTTTTTCAATTTTGTTCCTGTTAACTTCATAAATGCATATAGAGATAAAGGAAATAAGTGAGAGAAAATATAAAATACTCCATTATTTTTAATACTTTTTTTAATAAGAGCAAATGTGAACAAATTATCAATTTAATGCATTTCTTGATTTGCGGGTTTTGAGTGCAAGTAAACTTATAAATAGAGACTTATAAATAACAACAAAATAATACATTTAGGACCGGAGAGAATGTATTTGTTTTTTAGTTGATGAAATGTGGTGGGAGACCGACCTAATGTTATAACTTATCATGCTTTAAAGTACCCTAATGGATGATTCATAAGGTTAAGATTATCAATGACAATGAAGCAATGAATTTCTTCAATTGGTGTTATGCCTTTACAAATGATGAAGGTTTTCTTGAGTAGTTAGCAAATGCTTATTGATTTGTTTCCAATTAAAATGGTTGAGGATCCAATAATAATGTTTTCCTCTTATCTTTTAATATATCTATAATTGTATGTTGACTTTGTGCTTGTTACTAGTGATACTTCATCCTTCTTAGCCAATATTCTCATACCTGTTTCTTTTAGCAAATTTAATATTGAGAAAATAGTAAATATATATGTTGCAGAGTATTTTTTTTCCCCTTCTATGCGAATGTTCTCAATTTGTTCTACTATAATTTGTTTAAATTTAAAATTTTGACGGGGAAAATTTTTAACGGAACACATCATAAGTTTGCTGTGACATAATTTTATGAGAACAATTTTATTATTGTTTTTAAATGATTAATCATGTGATATCTGATTTTTTTTCCAGTAAATCATATAATATCTGATACTTTTAATAAATACAAAATTAAAAAACAAAAGACACCCAATATATATGTTTGCAATATATATGTTTGCACATATATATAGAAAAACACTCATTATTTTACTTTAGAGTAAAATATTCTAACCTCCCTAATATTTTATTCTAATTACATAGATCTCTCTTTTATTCTGAAAATATAAATTTAAGTCTAAATTATTAACTTCATTAAGAATATTTTAAAAAGATGTTTTTTTAATTAAAATTTATGTTAAACTATTTTTTATTTACTGATTTACCTTTCATAATACTAAATCCTTAAATTTTGGCTAAAACTATTTTAAAAATTTTAAGAATTTTTCTTTTACTTTAATTTTATTTTTTATTTTTATAAATAATTATTTGTTTAATGTCTTTATCATATCGGGACAGAAAATTAAATAATTTAGTTAATATTACTATAAAAAAATTGAATGAAAAATTGATTAATTCTTTAAATAAATATATAGTCGATCACAAAGTTATAAATGTTTGCAACAAAAATTTTGTTTAAAATTTTTAAATTATAAATTAAAATGATTTAAGAAATTACTTGCTTTAAAAACAAGCTTTCTCATACCTGACTTTGGATCTTATATAATTTCGTTTGGAAAGAATTATTTTATCAATAATAATTTCTGGGATATATTCTTATTCTACACAGCAACTGTCCCTTTCTTCTTCTTTTTTTCCCCGTTTGTATAATTTTAACGATTTTTTTTTTTTAAAACTTTAGCGGACGCTGGCACATTGCTCCCATTTCACGGTCAAGTGCTCCAGGGCGAGATTTCATATCGGGGAGTATGTCGTTGTGTGCCGCTAGGAGGTACGCTTTTCCCCCAACTTCCTCTTTGTGTTCGATTTTCTTCATCTTCCGTCATTCTCGCTTTCCCTTTTTCCCTCACCCCCAAGTTCTTTGCTCATTCTCAAACCCCAAATGTGAATAGCATTCACGACTCCGTAGCTTCATTCAATCGCTTACTCCATCGGCATCCCTCACCTTCCATACTCCAAATTAATAAGATTTTAGGATCACTTGCCTAGTCTAAACATCATCGCACTGCCATCTCATTGCTTGCACAAGCTGAGTTCAGGGGATTCACACCCGATTTATTTACACTCAACATCTTGCTCAATTGTTACTGCCATTTGGGTGACATGTATTCTGCTTTCTCAATATTGGGAAAGATTCACAAGATGGGTCTTCAACCGAGTACTGTGACTGTCAATACGCTGATAAAAGGACTGTGCATTAGGAACCAGGTTGGAGAAGCATTGGACTTTTATGATGACATCATGGCCAAAGGATTTCAGTTAAATGAAGTTAGTTATGGAACTTTGGTTAATGGGCTATGTAAACTGGGCAAATTAAGGTCTGCCATTAAATTGTTCCGAAAGATGGGGAGGCATTCAGTTAAGCCTGATGTAGTCATATACAATACAATCATTGATAGCCTTTGCAAATGTGGACAAATTGTTGAGGCCCATGCATTGTATTCTAAAATGATTGATCAAGGACTTTTACCCGATATTGTCACTTATGGCTCTCTAATCCATGGTCACTGCAGCAAGGGACAATGGCAAGAAGCTAACTGGTTGCTCCATGAAATGGTACTATTGATAGCCATCGAGCCTGATGTTTATATGTTTAATATATTGATTGGTGCATTTTGTAAAGAAGGAAAGATCATAGAAGCTGAAGTTGTTCTTGGCAGGATGATGAAATGTGGCGAGATACCTACTGTTGTAACTTACAATTCATTAATGGATGGGTATTGTTCAATGGACAATGTTAATGAGTCAAAAGAAGTATTTAATAAGATGATTCGTAGTGGGCTGGCACCTACTGTAGTTAGTTTTAATATCTTGATTGACGGATTATGTAAGAGCAACATGGTTGAAGAAGCTAAGGTTCCGTTTAAAGAGATGGGTCACAAAAGCGTAGATCCCAATGCCTGGACTTACAACTCTCCTATTCATGGCATGTGCAGATTAGGAAAAAAGTCATCTGTGCAGGACCTTGTTGATGATATGCATGATAGTGGTGTTGCCCCAGATGTAGTCACTTATAACATTTTGTTAAATGCATTTTGCAAAAGCTGGAATATCGATCAAGGGATTGCATTATTTCAGCAAATGGTTGCCTTGGGAGTTCAGCCTAATTTGCGCACACTTAACATACTTATTTATGGTTTGTGTAAAGGTGATAGAGTAAATGATGCTTGGGAGATTTTGAATACCTTTTGAGCAAAGGTTATCATTTAGATGTCTACACATATAGCAATATGATCAATGGCCTTTGTCGGCAAGGGTTGCTTGGTGAAGCCATGACTTTGCTTTCAAAAATGAAAGAGAATGACTGCCTGCCTGATTCAATAACATATAGAATACTTCTTCGAGCTCTTTTGGGAAAAAGAGAGAATGATAAAGTAGAGAATATTCTTCATGAAATGATTGATATTGGTCTTCTCAAACAAACAAGGTTAGATACTCTCATCCTATTTACTTATACTTGTTCAAATTTTTAAATTTGTCCTCAATGGTTATCTAGTGATGGTTTCTATTTGGTTAAATTGTTGGATTATTTGATTGGCTGAATGGACTTGATGTGTTAATGTTCAAGTCATATCTTTAATAGATTCATTGTGCTTATGGTATGTGGCCAAAAAAAAACAATTGTGCTTATGGTATTTGCCCATGAGTTTCTTTAAATATGGTGCTTTAAATATGTTTCTAGACCAGAAAATTGCTCATATGTCTACCTATATTTAAGCTCTGTTGTAGCCTCCGTAAACAATGTAGTTACAGCTCCTTTGGACCATTTGGCTGATTTAACCTGTCTAGTGAAATAGGCAATACATATAACTGGGCAGGAATTGTGTTTGTTTGTTTGGAAAACATTGGCATTTTTGTCTTTGAAAACGTGGGAATTGTCTTCACCGACTAAAAAATATGGGCACTAAGAAGAAAAGGTAGGTTGCATTTGCAATTGTTAGGTAATACTCAAAGGATACATATTTGGTCTATGTCAGGAAGGTCCGAATTTAGACCTAATTCAATATGTTTTTGGTTCAAACGATGTCCAAATTGTTTAAGCCTAAAACCTATTGGAAACTTGTGACCAGAAGGTTTGTCCTTGCTAGACAATGCATAAGCTACCTAGTTGTAACTTCTGGGCTCTTTTTTTTTTTTTTTTGCGCCCTCCTGGATTCTTTGCGGTTCCTTCGAAATCAGACTTGTTTTGCAGGTATCCATGTTACACAAAATGAAGTCGTTTTGCAGTTATCCATACTACACAAAATGAAGTCACCAGCAAAGCCACTTGGAGAGCTTTAACTATTGTTGAAACTGAAGAGGGCCTTCAACCTTCAACGGCATCTTTGCAACTCAGCAAGCAATCACAGATCAGTGAGGGAGGCCACATTATTACTTCATAGGCAATATGCGGGATATTTGATTTTAAATTAAACAAGACCAAAAACAGATGGCCAGCAATCCATATCTCCATCTTTTGGAATCATCGAACTTTTTACAACTGGACATTTCAACTGCCATTTCGAATGAAGGGTCTAGAACTTACAGCTTTCCGCTCTCAGGGAAGCACAGTTTTTTCTTTTATCTCACTGTTATGTATCCAATGTTTTTTGTATTCCCTTATGTTTAGACTTGTTCTCTAATTCTTACTGTATTTTTGTTATCAAGGAGAGAATGACGCCATGGTCAATCCAACCATCACAAGATGACATCGGTGTCATTCACAAGGACATCTGTTATCATTTGTGTCATTTTTATAATTAATAGTCTTATTCTGTATTCGGTTTTTGGGTTTATAGCACCCTATCCTGTGGATTAATAGACGCTTGGAAAGTGTTACATCATAATTGCAGAGTTTTGGATTGTGTGAAATTGAGGCTCTATTCCTTAATATTTTTTTTGGAATAAGAACCGGATTCCTATCTATTCAACCAAACAAAGCATTACAAGGACTAGCTTCCTTCATCAAGATCCACCTGTTCAAGCCAAGGTGGAGGTTGATCAAGGATACAAAAAATATTCCTTAATATTTTGACCACTCTGGATTTAGGAACTCATTAAAGTTCTCATTAGCCCCGCAGCTGAAAAAACAGCTTGCATGTTTTGGTAGATTTTACATGCATATTAAGGAGCTAGATGGATGCATATGTAGCCATAGCTAATTGCACCTGGGCCATAAATATCTGTAACTAGCCCGCCATAGCTAATTGTACCCGGGCCATAAATACCTGTAACTTGCCCGCCCTTTGAGCTGTTGTGTTTGTGTGTGTAGGCTTCTTCCTGTTTATTGTCTTTGCATTATAGTTTATCATTTTCTAGCTACCATGGCTGAATTCATGCATTCTGGTGCTTCACTCAGCAACTCTCACTTCTTGGCTCTATGATTTATGATTTTGTGTTTGGAAATCGTACCTCGTTTTAATTTCTAGAATTGATATTGCTTGTGACTTTAGGGGGTGTTTGGATACTTCTTAAAGGTGTTTGGATTAGTTTCTGGAAAATAACTTCTTGAAAAAAGTAATAAGATTGATTTTAGAGAATATATTTTGAGTAGAATAATAGATTTTGTTAAAAAAGTAATTTTAAAAAATTGTAAGTGTTTAGATTTGATGATTGTTATCAGAGTCACTTTTTCAGCTACAAATTACTTGAAAATATACATAATTAAATAATAAATATACATATACAAGATCAATATTTTTTTACATAATTAATTAGTCAGTAATATGTATAAATATTTTTTTTCGTTACAATAATATGTATAAATATTTTGATAAATCATGGTTTTCCCCTCAAAAAAGCAGAACAAACTGACTTCTTAAAAAACCATGGGTTTATTTTGTGTTTTTTTTTTACCTGATTCATTGGGCTATCCTTTGAACCATGGTTTCGGTATACCTAATCGGTTATTGAATTTCATAAGGTGTTTGGATGGTTTTTCATAAAATCATGATTTTTTCCTGCAAAACTATGATCGTGTGACTATAATTTCTAACATGGTGAGTATTTCTCATTCAATTTAAAGTCCTAAATACAACGTACATACCCTCTATTTATTAACACAATTTCATAACTTTAACAAAATTTATTGATTACATAATAATAAGAGATAATAATAGAATCATGTAAATAGTATAAGATATTGGAAATGATGGGGAGATATGAACATCCATACAGATATTATTATATTCAAAAAATTTCAACTAAAAAAAATCCTGTGGAACAAAATCTTAATAAAAGAAAAAGAGTACATCATAGAATTCATTGATATATCATCGAGTGTTGCCTTATTAAATACCTTGCTAGAAAAACCTAGCAGGACAAGACCATAAACAAGGAAAAAAGAGCACAATGTGTATTAATTCTCCATCCTGCCAACATCAGCTAACATCTTCAGGTCCACAAAGTCTAATATCATGAACAAACTTTTCAAATATTTTGTTAAAATAAATAAAACATATATTAATATTACAATATTTTGAAGATCAAGAGACAAATATTTTATTTGTGGTTCACCGATATGTGGATTATATTATGATCTCTTGATATGAGAATCAAGCAAGAACTTTATATATAATTCAAATCACTTCAAATGTTTTGATTTGATTTTAATAAGCAGATTATCCAAAAGCACGATGAATTTCTCCCATGTTGAAAATGTTAATTTTATTTATTTTTTAAATATATCTCTGTAATTAAAAATTATAGCGTATAAAAAAAATTTTATTTAATCTCCACTATTTACATTTTGCAAATATTTTATTAAATTTTTTTCACTTAATTCAATTTATGGGTTCAACTTAGAGTGAAAATGACAAAAAACCCTTGAAATTGTCACTTCCCATTAGGAATGACAGAGAGAAAAATAAACCTAAATTAAAATTTTGAAATTTAAAGAAAATGATAAAAATGTCTTTTTTTGAAAAAAAAAACAAAAAACAAAAGAGTTCAACTCCTCGCTTGAGACCACATTGGTGGCTGGTGGTTGACTGGTTGGTGGTAGAGGCTTTTTATTTGTTGGCAAAATTTGTTTTTTTGCCAATGGGAAATTATTTGAGGAAAGTGGTGGAGGTGGGATTTAATCCCACCACCTCATGGTCATTTGGGCTAATAAAAAAATAGATAAGTATTAGGCTGCTAATAATTTCTTAATATTAGAATGCAAAACAAAATATAAGTTAAATTATTTACCCTGGCTTCAGCTCGTAACAATAATTTATTTGGGAATAACAAGTCTAAATTTGATATTAACAAAAAAAAATTTTCCTTATACATAACACATGAAATAACATGCAAATTAATCAAGAATAACAATAATTTATTTGGGAATAACAAGTCTTGTGAAATGACAAGTCAAGATTTGATATTAACAAGACTTTCTTTTCTATTCATAATATGTGAAATAACATGTGAATCAATTAAAAATGATAACATTTCGTCTGCAAATAATAAGTTTCAAGTTGGGATTAACATGTTTTTTCATTATATAATTAGTAAAAAACATAATTTATAGATACTTTTAATCTATATACCTATATAACTCATTAAATAAATATATAAGTAAAAGTATATAAATTATAAATGATAAATAACTAATTATAAATCATAAACAAAAGTATAGTCAATAAGTTATATAGATATATAGATTAAAAAGCATTTATAAATTGCTTTTTTTATTAATTATATGATGAAAAAACGTGTTGTGAATTCTAACTGAAGTTTATCATTCATAAATGAAATATTATCATTTTTGATTGATTCACATGTTATTTCACATATTATATATAAAAAAAATACTTTGTTAATATTAAATCTAGACTTATCATTTCACAATCAAGACTTGTTATTCTCAGATAAATTCTTATCACGAATTTAAGTTAGAGTAAAGGAGTTAATTTATATATATTTGTATTATAATGTTAAGAAATTATTGGTGCCTCGATAGTCAACTATCCTTAATTATTTTCAGTACTGAAAACATGAAAGATAAGAATCATCACATAACGTGGAGGATAAGAATCATCACATAACGTGGAGGATAAGAATCATCACATAACGTGGAGGATAAGAATCAAGACTTAATAGGCTTTTCGAAAGTTAAAAGCGTGGTTAAAATTGTTTCTAAAAATATTTTAAGGATAAAATTGAACCACAAATTATTTTATCATACCAGATACAACTGAAAAGCTACTTTAGGATTACTGCATCCATAT